TTTTATTGAAATATAATTTATGTACAGTGAAAGACACAAAACTAAAGTGACATGGGCTAATGCTTTTTTTTTTGCAGTGTTCCTTCATTTCCCCTCCCCTCCCTGGTAACTAACAAAGAAAGTTTCATTCCATATATAAACTTTGCCTTGACTTTGTACAATAATGAACTAATACTGTATTTGTCTTTCTATGATTGACTTATTTCACTCAGCATAACATCCTCCAAGTTCATCCATGTTACGTGGTGTTTTGCAGATTCTACATTATTCTTTAGTGTTGCATAGTATTCCATTGTGTGTATATACCATAGTTTGGTTATCCATTCTTCTCTTGATGGGCACCTAGGTTGTTTCCATCTTTTTGCTACTGTAAATAGTGCTGTGATGAACATGGGTGTGCATATATCTGTTCTTGTTCTGGCCCTCACTTCTTAGTATGTATACCTAGTAATGGTATTGCTGGGTCAAACGGTATTTCTAACCCCAGCTTTTTAAGGAATCACCATACTGCTTTCCACAGTGGTTATATCATTTGATAGTCCCACCAGCACTGCATTAGAGTCCCAATCTCTCCACAGCTTCACCAGCATTTGTTATTTTCTGTCTTATTGAACTTTCGTACTAGTCCTGGGGCAAAATGGTATCTCACTGTTGTTTTGATTTGCATCCTTTAATGGCTAATGATCATAAGCTTTTCTTCATGTGTTTGTTGGCCACCTGAATATCCTCTTTGGTGAAATGTCTATTCATGTCTTCTGCCCATTTTTTAATTGGATTATTTGTCCTTTTGTTGTTGAGGTGTTGGGAGTTTTCTATAAGTTTTAGAGATAAGTCACTTGTCAGATTTGTCTTGGCCAAATATATTTTCCCAATCTGTAGGTTCTCTTTTTGAGAAGTCTTTGGAAGCACATAAACATTTAATCTTTAGAAGGTCCCATTCATCTAGTTTATCTTTAGCTGCTTGTGCATTTTGGGCTATCCTTGACAGTCTATTTATGCCATAAATTAGGGCCCCTAAATTTGCCCCTATTTTTCCTTGAGGAACTTCATAGTTTGGGGTTTCACATATAAGTCTTTAATCCATCATCTGGAGTTAGTTTTTGTGTATGGTGTGAGGTACGGATCTTGTTTCATTTCTCTGCAAATGGATAACCAGTTTTGCCAGCACCATTTGTTAAAGAGACTACCTCCTTGGCCATTTAATGGATTTCAGCCCTTGTCAAAAATCAGCTGACCATAGGTCAATGGATCTGTTTCTTGGTTCTCAACTCTGTTCCACTGGTCTACATATCTGTGTACTAGCACCAGGCTATTTTGACTACTGTGGCTGTATAGTAGGTTTTGAGATCCGGGAGTGTGAAACCTCCTACTTTGTTCTTCTTCAATAGTGCTTTGCTTATTCATGGTCTCTTTCCTTTCCACATAAAACTAGTGATTAGTTTTTCCATATCTTTAAAGAATGCTGATGGGATCTGGATTGGGATTGCATTGAATGTATAGATTGCCTTGGATAGTATTGATATTTTCACAGTGTTCAATCTTCCTATCCGAGCATGCTATGTTATTCCATTTATGTAGCTCTCTTATGGTTTCCTGGAGTAGTGATTTGTGGTTTTCTTTGTACAGGTCTTTTGTGTCCCTAGAGCTCTGGTAGCATAGTGCCTAAGGGATTTGACTGGTAACTAGAAGGCTGGTGGTTCAAATCTACCCAGTCACTCCTCAGAAGGAAGGCTGGCCAATCTACTTCCATAGTGATACCACCTCAGAAAACCAAGGAGGGCTTGCTATGAGTCAGATGTGACTCAATGGCAGTGAGTTTGGTTTTTTTCTGGTAGTGAAATTTATTCCCAAATATTTTATTTTTTTGGTAGCTGTTGTAAATGGTATTGATAGTCTTATCTCCTTTTCTGCAATCTCTTTGCTGCTGTAGAGGAATCTAACTGATTTTTGGATGTTGATCTTGTATCCCGCTACTATGCTAAACCTCTCAATAAGGTCCAGTAGTTTTTTTGCTGAGTCTCCTAAGTTTTCTATGTATAAAATCATATCATCAGGAAATAGGGATAGTTTTACTTCTTCCTTACCAATTTGGATGCCTTTGATTTCCCTTTCTTGTCCTGGATAGGACTTCTTATACAATGTTGAATACAAGTGGTGATAGAGGGCATCCTTGGCTAGTTCCTGTTCTCAAGAGGAATGGTTTCAGTCTCTCTCCATTGAGAATAAGGTTGGCTGTTGGTTTTGCATATATGCCCTTTTTTATGTTGAGGAATTTCACTTCTATTCTGATTTTCTGGAGTTTTCATCAGGAAAGGGTGTTGGGGATTTTATCAAATGCCTTTTCTCCATCGATTGGTATGATCATGTAGTAAAAAAGGGAGAATTTTTTGTTAGATGAATTTTACCACAATAAAATTAAATGTAAAAGAAAACTACAAAGAAAAGCCAAAGTTCAGATAGCTTCAATGTTACATTTACCAAATATTTAAAGAATAATTAATCCCAAATCTTCACAAACTTCCCCAAAAAATGGAAGAGGAAAGAACACTTCCCAACTTATTTTATGAAGCCAGCATTACTCTGCCACCCAAACTAGACAAAAACATCAAAAGAAAAGAAAATTACAAATATCTCTTACATATGAAGTTGGATGGAAAAAAAATCCTCAACAATGTACCAGCCAACTGAATTCAGCAACATACAGAAAGGATTGTATACCATGACCAAGTGGGATTTATAAATGTGAGTTTGGTTCACCATCTAAAAATCAATTAATATGATAATATATCATACCAGAAGAATAAAAATAAAAATACTATCATCTCAGTAGATGCAGAAAAGGCATTCAACAAAATTCTGTACCTTTCATGATAAAAGGGAGCTCTGGTGGCATAGTGCCAAGGCATTTGACTGCTAACCAAAGGCTGACAGTTCACTTAACAAACCAGGAAAAGAAGGAAAGTTCCCAACCTGATAAAGACATCAAGAAAAAAATGACAGCTAACATCACACTTAAGGGGAAGCGATCAGGAACAAGACAGAATGTCCTCTCTTGCTACTTGTATTCAACAGAGAAATTTATTGGTAATAATAATAATTCTTGCTTCACGGATGGTTGTGAAGATTAAATGAGAGATTCTAGCCAGGGCAATGGGCAAGAAAAAATAAATAAAAATTAAAAGGCATCCAGATTTGAAAGGAAGAAGTATAATTATTTTTACTCTTAGATAACATGATCTTATACACAGAAAATCTTATGGAATACACATACAC